AATATTAAGAGGCAAAAGTAACGGTGTCGGTTATGAAGGGGAGATTAAGGGGACTTGGGGTGAGCTCGGGAAAATAAGTGAGTTTTGAGTGCGGAGTGGAAACTGGTGAGCGAATGTAACTGTTTAATGTGGAGGGAAGGTATGTTCCAGTGAAGGGGGCAAGAAGAAAAAAGAGCAAAATCATGTATTGAGCACAAGGAGGATGAGGAACAGAGAGAGACAGCAAATATTGGGAACGTAGAAGGTGAGAAGGCACGTCGAAAGATACGAGCGTGGCAAGATGTGGTGGGGCAAAACCATGAAGGGATATGTAGACCAGGGTGAGGAGTTTGAACAGGCAACGGTAGTATACAGGTAGCCAGTGCAGTTGCACGAGGAGGGTCGAGGTATGGAACCTGTAGGTAAGGTTGAATATGATCTGAGCAGAGATATTTTGGATATATTGAAGGGGGGCAAAATAGTAAATGGGCAGACCGAGCGTAAGAGAGTGGCAGTCGTCCAGATGAGTATAGATAAGGGAATGGATGGGGTGTTTTGCAGCAGAGGTGGAAATAAGTGGTCGGATTTTGCGAATGTTGAACAAATGAAACCGGCAAGCATATGGTAGTGGCAGAAATGTGATCGGTAAAGGTGAGGGAAGAGTCAAAGATAACACCAAGGTTGTAGGCTGAAGAAATAGAGTAAATTTAAAAAGGAGGGAAAGAAATGGTGGGACAGGGAGGAGGGGAACGGGTGGCAGGGGAAAATATTATTTGAGTTTTGGAAGGTTTGGTGGACAGAAAGTGGCGTGACATCCAAGGTTGGATAGAAATCAGGCAGGATGAGATGCAGGAGGCGAAATCAGGGAAAATTAATGAAAGGAGAATAAACTTTGGCTGTCATCTGCGAAGAAATGATGGGAAAAGTTCAGCGAAGAGAGGAAGAGATGCAAGCAGTGCGATATATAAATAAACAAATAGGGGACAAAGAATAGACCCTTGGGGAACACCAACAGTGAAGGGCGCTCGGGGGGAAGGTAGCATGATTGAATGAGACCGCAGAGGTATGCAGAGAGAGGTAGGACTTCAGCCAGGAAAGTGGTGTGCCATACATAGCGAGAGAATAGAGAGGAGAGAAAAGAGTCGGATGGTCAACCGTGTCAAAAGCTGGGGACAAGTCGAGGAGTATAAAAACTATAAGAGAGCCCAGCATGAGCAGAGTTAGTCAGGTGATTATGAACAGAAATACGTGTTGTTTGGTTGAATGAGAGGGACAAACCGGATTGAATTTGGGGGTAGAGAGAGTTGGAAGATACGTAGTGGGTAAGGCGGGAATATACCAGGCGTTCTAACAGTTTGGAGAAATAGGGGAGAAGGGAAATGGAACTGTGGTTGGCAGGAGAAGAGGTATCAAGAGAAGATTATTTGAGTAGCAGTATAATAATCGCCGACTTATAGATTGTGGTCAAGACACCAAAGGAGAGGGAGGAATTGAATAGGAACACTAGGTAGGGGAGAAGTAAAGAAAAGATTCGGGGTCACAGGGAAGCAGGGATGGGATCGAGGGGAGAGTAAGTGGGATGGGCCTTCGAGATCATAGAATAGAGTTCAGTCATAGAAGTTGCAGGGGAAATTGTGAAAGCACAGTCATTATGGATTTGACGTAGAGGGGAGAGGCTGCTTAGGTGAGCTAGGGGAAGAGGAGGATAGAAGGGTCGAACGAACAGAGTCAATCTTGGTGGAGAAGTCATAGGCGTAGTTGAGAGCTGAAGGCGTAGAGGATAGGAATCATGGGTTGGGGTAGGAGGCTGGAGGAGAGTAAAGAAGAGTTGGTGGGGGTGGCGAGCAAGGGAATAGATGAGAGCCAAGAAATTGCCTTGTTTGGCAAATTCTAGGAGGGAGTGGTAGGAGGAAAGGTTCCGAGCTGAAGGAGTAGACTTTGAAAGCCTTTCATATTGACGTAGGTGTCGCCGCTCTGATTGAAGGAATGTTATAAGCCAAGGTTGTAGAGGCTTAGATGAGGTGGAGCAGAGATGGAGGGGAGCTAGGAGGTTGAGGGAAGAAAAAAAATAATTAGAGAATGCGGAGGAAGCTCAGTCAGGGTGCATGGAGGAGAAGTCGGAAATCGGAGGAAGTAGAGATGAGATATGAGTGGGTATTAGTTATGGGTGTAAATTAAACTCAGGTCGCCGGTTCATTCATCCACTCTGAGCACATGTTTATAGTACATAAACATATTACATATAGTTGTATGACTTCTACAAAATGAAGTATTTCGATACAGTTGATTCTTGCACAACATTTTGAAATACTCTATTTTCTTGTGTATAAGGACGTACACAATAATTAAAAAGCGATATTAATAATATAAATCATATTACTCTTCTATTTGATAACTATACAAATAAATAATTATATAACCGTGTTAAAACGTGTACATTTATTTTAATGAGTAAATATTGGTGTTCGGTTATTTAAATGTGTTACATGCTGTCACATACTATTTGAAATGTCGAACATATTCAGTGAGAAGGTGACTTCGATGCTATGGTGATATCATGTACCTCATAGAAAGGAGACATTTCAAGAAGAGCCTTTGGAAAATCACTGCATGTATTTCACATAACAGCTCAACAAAAAGGTCAGATGCGATGCCAAAATAACAAAAAAATGACGCACACTGTAATTCAATGTGGCTTTTGTTATATTTTTTCAGGAAAAACGATATTGGCATAAGTGAGCATATTACAAACGTGGCAAAGGCATTGTAAAAATGTATATTGATAAGTGTAGAAACATATGTCGAGGTTTGCCGTTCGATATGCTTAAACGTGTAATTGACTTGCAGTTACATATTAAATCAATACTTAATTTTAATTCGGGTTGAGGCTGTTCAGGTTTAAAAAGCACACAAGCTTGCTTACAATTTAAGTTGTATATATCACTTTCATTGTCACCGTTGCTTTGGGCACGAGTTAAACAGAAACATATTAACAGCCTATGATTTGTATAAGTTTTATTTGAAACCAAACTAAAACACTACAGTGAGACAACTGAACATGATTTAATGAGTGCATGGTACAGAGAGCACAGACCGCAAACAAATATCACACTGCACACTTTTTTTTATTTATTTTTCCGAATGCTGTTGTTGTGCAAACTGGCAAACTTGTTATTTTCTTGCAATTTGGGGAAATGCTTGAAAGGCAGGCATTCCGTTTCAACTGTGTGAGCAGCTTGCTCAGCGCTCTGTCTCCCGTCTCCAAGAATCTCCTGTAGTTAAAAGCCAAATGGCAAGTGCAATGATTTACCACCGGACATTCATCATATATCTTGTCGCTTCCCCATGCGTTACAAAATTGCAGCCATAAAGGAGGCACTGTTTATGAGCAGATGTACAGCGATCAAACACTGTACACTGTTAGGCATTCTGGATAATGCATGCGAACAATTTATCCAATCATTAAAGCCAATCTTGGTATAAATAGTGTTGGATATTACTAGTGTTTAAACTACGGCCGTATACGCTGTAGGGCACACTGGCTGCTTGTAGTGCCCATCTGTGATTACAATTTTTTTGTTTTTGTAAATGTTGACCTCGGGTGAAGTACATGGAAAATTAATTAGATTAGAAAATAAATGACATTTTCAATGACAGTTGAGATCAATTCATGCAGAAAATTGTAGCAAAAAATCAAGTGAATTAAAAATCGGAGGCGAAATGGACTGGACAAATATTTTAACCAATATTTAAGGATCTTGACCACGGCTGCAGAGAGTGCAGCATTTAAACACCCACATTATAAAAGTCACGTTCATGTGCTGAAATCAAATTCAACGTTTCCTCCCACCTCCAACAGTACAATTATGAAACACAGCCACCATTATACACTGCAGATGTACTGTACACGTATTGCTCAATTTACGTATTTTATACTCCATTCTTGCTCCCTTTGTAGCTGTTTTTATACAATCTCTCTGCTAATGGCCTTTCCCAGTCTGCGATTGAACGCGTGCACATTAATGCTCCGCGTATACCCCCGTCCTCTGCCGTTCCCAAACATACGCACGTCAGAGGTGCTCATAGCGGGTGGGTTTGTGGGATTGCTCTCACATCGTGCTGAAGTTGGATTGAATACTAAACAGGATACTCCCGCCTTCAGCTCCGAGTAGGTATGTCTTCCCAGTAATGGATCTTGCAAAATTTGAATGAGCCTGACAACTGTCTATATTGCTGCGCGTGTAATGTGTGAGCGCATGCAAAGCCGTAACCAACCATGCAAACAGTGAGCCAAACAGCCCGAAAGGTTGATACATCAGCCTCCACAATATTATAAGACCCCAGACTCTGCCAGCCTGAGTGCAAGTCAATTTTGATGGGGCTGGTAAGCTGGCAATTGATACAGAGAGTTGACGACATACACTCAGTCATGTTAAGCTAGCCAGCGATATGACTGACTGGTTAGTCTCTATTCATATAACAAGCAGGCAGGGCAGTTGAGCTAGCCAGCCACTCGTCCATCTAGTCACCTCGCTATTTGTACAGATATTCCATAAATCCGCTCGGCCAGCAAGTGAGCCAAAGAGTTAGCCATCAATCCGTTGCCCCATCCATACGTCGATTCAGACTGCCAGCTCACCATATAATTCATCCAGCATGTGGATGAGCAAGAAGAGAACTGTCTATCCATCATTTAATCCATTCTTCCATCCAGTGAACCAGCCATCGCACGACCTGGCCAAATAGTCTATGTTAATTCAAATGGCCAGTAGACGACCCAAAGATCCCGTCCATCCATTTGTTTAATCCGTCAATTCTTCCATCCAATCTTTCATCCAGCCTGCCAGCCAGTCGGGTCAGTCTATATTAATGCATCCAGCCAGCAGGCGAGCCAGTGAGCCGCGTGTGTGCGCGCGCGCGCGCGCGTGCGTGCGTTGGTGTGTGTGGCGTGTACGTCGTGAGTGTGGTGGGTGGTTGGTGGTGGTGGTTGGAGGAGGAGGAGGAGGGGGGGGTGAGAAGGCGTTGGGTTTGCCACGGTGCTGCGGGGGAGGAGCCCCCGCGAGGAGCACTCGGGCTCCATGTAGCAGCGAGGACGAGGAGGCGCGCTGTCTGTCGATCAAGGCACACGGGGAGCATGGCCCCCGCGCGCTGCCTGCGTGCGCTCTGGTGGCCGCTGCTCGCGCTGGCCCTTCGCTCGGCCCCCGCGGAGTCTCACCCGGCCGCCGCGTCCCCGCCGGGCGCCGACTCGACGCTGTCGGCGCCACCGGACTACGTGCTCGAGGACTACCGCGGCAAGGGCTGCCTGGACGAGACGGGCTACGTGTACAAGCTGGGCGAGGAGTTCTCGCCGGGACACTCGTCGTGCCCGTGCCGCTGCACGGTGGACGGCCCCGTGTGTCCCAAGCCCGAGTGTCCGCGCATCTCGGCGTCGCGCTGCGCCCGCGTGGAGCACAACGGCTGCTGCCCCGAGTGCAAGGAGGCGCGCAGCGAGTGCGAGTATCGGGGAGCCACCTACGGACTCCTGCAGGAGTTCAAGGTGCGTATCGCTTGCCCTGCTCCACTCGCCTCGTCGTGATGGTGGTGGTAGTAGTTTGGTGGTGGTGGTTAGCGTAGTGGTTCGCTACACTAACCACCACCAAGAGCACGGTCAGCTACACTAACCATGGGTAGTGTATATCGGTTAGCGCGCTGCGCTATGAACCCGGCTCCCGAGTTCGATTCCCGCTCACGGCCACCAACACCAGTGGCGATTATCTAAACCAGTCCCTCTAGGTCGACTCAGACTCAAATGAGTACCTGGTGCCGTGTGTAAACATGGCAACTGGGGAGACAAAGGCGGCCGGGAGTGGCTTTGGCCACCCACCCGATCATGCGTCGTGCCGGCCTTCATATGTGCTCGCTAACAGCACTTGCCCCAACAGTCTATAGAGGCTACACGGGGGATCTTTGTCTTTAGTGGTGGTGTTGTTTATTACGTAGCTTAGCGCAGATTCGTTGTTGGCGTTGTTATTTGAGTTTAAATAATGCAGAGCGAAGTCCTGCGCGAGGATTCTAACTTGGCTAAGTTAGGGTGGTGTAATATTCTGGCTCGAGGTAGTGTGGCGATAAAACTACAGTACTGTATAACGTATTTAGAACGGGATTTGGTTATAGTGGATATAGGGCATTGCACTCGGAACTCTACTGATTTTGGGATTCAAACTGAGGATGTTCCCAGAGTCAAACTTCGAGTGGGACAGATAACTTAGGCTCAAACGCCAGAATTCGGCCGTTGATGAGAACGAATTAAACACTCCATTGCGAGCTAATTGAAACACCTGTCAAGCCGGTATGCACAGAAACGGAGGTTCGATTCCCAACAGTCATGTGTCCATTATTGCGAGGTGATTGTTCTAATAACTTTCCGTTTGATGATGCATTGTGGACATTCTTACAGACCCGATTTAATTACCGTCTGCTATAGATTCACTATTGCCAGCCGTTGTCAAAACCCAGCTTCCCATAAGTGAAGTAGATTGTCAAGTAGATTGTAAGAGATACAGTACTCGAACGATATCTGCATAGCTTCCGTCTTCAAGGTAGTACGTCAATCTCAGTGGACTATCACCTCGTGATATTAAGGCGATCGAGCAACTACATTTATCAAAACGCATTGCCACGCCGAGCACAATGTAAGGAATGATAACCGCGGGTAGGAGGAAGCTTGAATGGCACGATGATGACACGTTCTGTGTTAGTCATGCAATCAGGAGTAGAGAGAAAATGATATTACTGTTCTAAAACAGGTGGTAGCCGTTTGGGATTTGTTGGTGTTCTCTTCGTAAAATGAATACATTTCATTGTTTTTTTTTAAATCCTTTATATTAAGTTCACTTGCTTGCTTGCTTGCGTGCTTACGACCGTGCAAATCTTTTGGTCGTTTTTTAACCCACTTCCCGTGATCCAATCGAGCTGACATTTTGCACACAGACTCGTTGTGCGTGACAATTTATTTTCGTGAAATTTTTTTTCCAAAATTTTCCCCTTTTTAGGAAAAAATGTTTTCATATTTAATTTCAAATACCAATGTGATAAAAATGAAACTCTTACTCAAGAAAAACAGAAATGAATAATACAATAAAACCGATGCCACGCATATAAAGGATTTATAGTGAAAATCTTTTTTTTACGGGTTAATTTTTTACGGGCTAGCGTACGCGTGTGTTAGTGCACGTGGGGAGAGGCATCGTGCTAGTGGTAAGCGCACTGCGCTATGAACACGACGATTTGAGTTCGATTCCCTCTCGAGGCCAACATCAGTGACGAATATCTGAAACGGCCCTGCGCCGCCCCCCCCCCCCCAAGGTCGACTCAACTTCAAATGTGTACCTGGTGCAGATGTGCAATAAACATTATCACTGGGGAGACAAAGATGGCCAGGCGTGGTTCTTACCACCCACCTCCTCTTGTGCCGTGCCAGCTTTCATCGGTGTTCGCCAACTTCACTTACCCCAACAGTCAGTGTAGACTGCACATTAATTCAACATGCGACCAGTGACACTTTTCATTTGACACATCTACCAAGGGTGACCGCTTTTCCAACAACAACAAAAACTCCACTTCAGTGAGAGCACTCGATATGTGTGTGTGTGTGTATACATCTAAACGCCGCTACTCGCGGTTGGTAGCGGCCACTGTCAACTCACAGAAGGAGAAATTGGATACGCTCACGACGCTGCTTACAGGGACGGGGATTCAACATACAAACCGTACGGGGAATCAATAACTATGTTTTTTTCTTTAAACCAAGCGCCGTGGGTCAATCGGCGTAGAACGGGGCCGCTGTGTTAAGGGGGGGTGGCGGTGGCGGAGGGCGGTCTGCCTGACATCATACCAGCTCCTCCCGTCTTTGTCACTGCGTAGATAGATGGCCATTGTTGAAAACAAAATGTAACTAAGGCAGTCTGCAGGCTTGCTGGATTTCTCAGATGCTGAACAATTATGTTTTTAACGTGTTTAGGAAATGCCAATTGTTTGGGTTGCTAAAACTGTGAATGCTGCTGGATGTAAGTTAGAGTATTGGCGTTCCTGACAATGGTTGTATAATTCTTGTTGTGAGGATGAACGTCAAAGATTTCAACATGCAGCAAAAAAATTCCTGTTAATAGACTTCATTTTTCAGATTGAATTAATACATTTTATTAAGAACACTGTGCCTTTATGTTGCTAAATATAGTATTATATATCAAACAATCCTGATTTGCCAAAACACATACTGTAAATGTGCACTTACATTGTGTCAGCAATTACGGTAAAGTACAAGCAACCTGCATACGATTCCTTGCACGTAAAGATATTTCATGTATCTGTTGGTGAAACATGTAAATGTTTTGTTGAGCTCTGACTGCTTCTTCTTTCCTTTGACATCCTGGCGTGTCATGAATTAAAAAAGATGAATAGCATTTTATTCCACAATTATCATTGAACATTCTTGTTGAAGTCAATGAATATTCTATATGTAAAATGATAGCGCACGGTCAATTTAATAATGCCAACTTTAAATACATCTAGCCCCAACACGTAATCAGCAATGTTGTATAAATGTATTGCATTTTATGGTGAAATACAGCAGAGGCCATGCCAAAGCTTCCAAGGAACATATTGAGCTTCTCTGCATGTGATATACACAGGCTGTCAGTTGGAGCGCAATTTATTTTGCTCTTGAAATTAAATGAAACATTAATATTTTATAAAGCACTGTGGTATTTAATCAATGTAAAAAAAAAACATTGCCACAAAGTTGAGTGTCACAACATACACCGGATTATATGTTTATTGTACGTATGCGAGCTGTGTAATCCAAGTCTTCATGGTGGCGTTTGCGTGGACTGTGTGGTTGCATGCGGACTGTTACTGGTGCAGCCTTCCCCATGCGAGCGTTGCCGCTGTGAAGCGAACGGGGAGGTGTCCTGCGTCGTGGCTGACTGCGCAGTCCCAGAGTGCGTGAACCCAGTTTACGAGCCAGAGCAGTGCTGCCCGGTCTGCAAGCATGGTACGGTACGATACGCCATGCCACACTACACAATATTGCAGCATATTGAAGCCAATTCACGCCACATCATGCAGGGTCCGTGCAAGACCTGGTAAAACAAAGCCATGTCACAGTGTTCTCAACATTCCTAATACATCACATTTAGTCACAGGGTATGCTGTTAATTGAGAAATCATAGTTATTACATTGTCCAGCACTGCTTTTTTTTCTCCATCTCTGGCTCCAAATTTGTGCATTCACATGTTTTGCGTTTTAAATTTTGCATTCGTACCTATTGACGATAACTTTCATTTACCAAATATTTATGTTAGCACAACATTGCTAACATACACATGACTTGTTATGCACACTGAACAGACATTTAAAAGGTTAAAAAAACTTGGTAATGTTAAATAATTTGAAGTGTTCAAACCTTCACATTTAATTAAACAGCTGAAATATGTATGCACAACTCAGAAGATTCATAGTGACACAAAAGCACTTCAGATTAATCTTGACATGCCGTAGGAATTTAATGACCACACTGTGGTGAGGTTGTGTGCTTAGGCACTGTTATATTTCAATAACTAAGATACTTATTTGATTGTGATTTAATTTCGTACGAAAACTTCAGCCTTTAAAGTGCATAGAAACATTTGAATGATAGGCAATACAATGTTAGTATATTCAATTAAATATATTTACAATTAGTTATTTAAAGGCGTTGAGTAATACATCTTAACCCTTCCTGGCTCACAGCTAGGTTGCAGCGAAGTTGAGAGCTAATTTAGCAAATGTCTGCCATATTGATGTGAAGGTAAATTATGTGTAGATATACAGCACTATGAGCAGCCGAGGCTATTGATTAGCTCACTAGAAAAAAAGAACGCTCATATTAAACAGGTTATTTTTACTAAGCAACTCTTCCTATGTTGTTTACATTCAACCATACTACTGTAAGCGTAGTTAACATGCACAAATGTAGTAGTGGTTTGGCCTAATTGCATCCTGACTTTATATAATAATTAATACAAAATCATGAATTTAAAAGATGGTATCCTGTTCTTAGTCAATGATTTTTAACATCCACTACTCCTGCACCTACCCTGTTGTCATCATGTCTGATGACATCGGAGGTCCAAATGACTGAGCATCATGCTTCAGGCTACGCTGCCATCAGATGAGAGATACGCGACCGTAAGATATGTGGAAATATATTTGACCATGCTGACCAGTGCTGATTGGAGAAGATACCCAACTAAGATGTGAAGCATGCTCCTCAATTTCAGATGACTCCCGTCAACTTGGGAGCTAGCCAGGAACACGGTTCACATCGTAAGTAACGGTGCAGGATGAGGTCCTGTTCACCAATAGACAGTCAGCCCGAACACCGTTGAAGATTTATGTTGGAGTATACATGGTACAGTTATTGAAGGCAGATTGGGATAATCATTCATAATATAGGTTTTTGGGTCAGATCGCGTTATTTATAAATGTGTCGTAACCCTCCACCACCCGACACGGGTTTGGCCGTGTCGGGTGGTGGAGGGTTACGACACATTTATAAATAATGCGATCTGACCCAAAAACCTATATTATGAATAATATTGGTCGCGAAAGCCTAAGTGTTAAACTGGGATAATCATGATGAAACTGAACCGAATAATACAAAAGCAACATGCCGATGTGCCTAAAGAAGGATATTCTTAATCAGTGTACAATTTTACCTGCTATTATATATGGAGGAAATACATGGGCATTCATAAATAACATGGAACAAAAGCACGAAGAAGCGTGAGGAGTTGTACCTGCTTGGAATTACATTGTGGCAGAGAAAGAGGGACATGTGGGTTAGAGAAAATGCACACGTTAGAGACATTTATGCACCTGATGAGTTAATGAGTTAATGATGACGTCACCCTGCTGCTGCTCTATATAAGAACGGGAGACACAGCAGAGCCTCACCATTCTGGCGAATTGCCCGATGATGCTGGATGCAATTACCAGCGAAACGTCGTACTCAAATTGTAAATGCTGTGGTTTCACGCTTCAACACACCGGTGGGCTAAAGCAGTGAACTATTTGTCTTTTGTCAACGTGACACTTTTTTACTGATTGGCCGTGTCGGGTGGTGGAGGGTTACGACACATTTATAAATAACGCGATCTAAACCCAAAAACGTTGATTATGAACATTTATATATACTGTTAAGAAAAGTAGGCGTGATACATCGCTAGAATGATGGTTGGTGGTCGAGAATAACGGTGGAGTGCATCTCGAAGGAAATAATGTACTCAAGAGGGCGTCCACTTTAGAGATGCAGAGATGAAATCAGCGTGAGTGCAGGTGCTAGACATGTTGCTGCATCACAAGACTATGAGAAATGGTGATGGTTTGGGTAGCCTTTCAACCAGCAATGGATAGATGATGATGATGATGATGACGAATAACTTACAGTCGCCTCGACGGACCTGGTTATCACCTGAGGACGGCTGCTTGCGTTGTGGCCGAAACGTCGTGAGAATAATTTTATTATGTTTTATTTGTATTATTGTATTACTTCCCTTCTACGTGACTTTACCGAAAGAACCAAGAAGAACTTACAGCCCTTTGTCAATCCACTGCTGGATGAAGGCCTCCCCACGACGGGTTGGGCACATAGGAATTTAGCCATACTTCTCCGTGTTAGTTAGATTGGTGAACTGGGACCCAGTACTGTTTAAATATATCACTCATCACCGATGGAAACCATTGGCTGGGAATTGAACTCAGGTCGCTAAGTTTATAGCACAGTCCACAAACCACTGTGCAACCGATACTTCCTGAGTTGATGTATAACATTTAATTCAGTGTATTTATACAGAACATATACACTATTTATGTAGCACCAACATCTTACAATTATTAGTTTTAGTTTCAATATAGCAGAGCAAGAATAATGTTGCTTCATATTTCATGAAAATATTTAATTGAAGGGAATTTCAACAAGGTACATAATTGTATTATATTTACGGTTGTATTAGTACGTAAGTTTATATTTATTTTGCGAGTGAACATTTTGTAACTTAGGCAGATTGAAGGCTTCACTTAAGGCTGCATATTGAGTTTTAACTTTTTTGGTAAACATCTCCAAGCATCTGCTATTGAATAGCATCAAACATTGCCCCTCTGGACTGACTGCATTCCACACATTTACATTGTGAATGTGAAACAATCATATAATTACATTGTCCATGGTTACATTGTAATGCCCCACGCTGTATGTAACCTTCATAACAGGGGCTAGTCAAGGGTACCATTTCAATAAAAATCCATCTGTTATTGACTTGCATTGTTTGTTTTCAAATATATACACCAAGTACTTGCTCATTTAACCTAACATTTAATTTACATGAACTAACATGTTATAGGATGGCACGAAGAAATCTGAATTTCAAATTTAATATTGTTGAAAGAACACGAGGCAGTGTCGTTAAGTTCTTTCTCTCGTATCGGAGTAAATGGTTTAGGTTGTCCACAATAAAATTCAATCATTGTGTTCCCTCAGTATTGTTCTCTTGCCATTGTAGTGTTTTATGATGACTTGCAGGAGCAACCTAGAACCAATGTCAACCTTACATTAAAGTAGAAAAACTGACCTCCCCTCCCAAAAACCGTAATCATAGTGAGCGATGTTATAGGCACTGTCAATGAGAGGAGTTTTAAGGACACAATAAAGCTCTGACCGTTACATTCGGACATTGAACTATTAACTAATGTAGTTGTATTGTGTCCCATATATATGTTTTACTACTATATTTATGTCTTTTGAATCAATGCTGGGAAAATTGTTCGCTCTCAGAATGCCGTGGAGCTGATGGTTGTGTGAATTTTTTTTTTTAATAAAAAATACTTCACATTTTTTTACGTAGCGAGACATATTTGTGAAGGATATGTATTGTCTGCTTAACTATTCTATAACTTGAATTATCCACAATTATCTAATTACTAGTTTTGTTATAATTGTAAATAGGCATTCTTTCCAAGGCAGTTCAAAATGAATACATTAATACAATGCAATTAAAATAATATTATATATATTTGCATTGACGTTTAAGCTGACAGAAGTAGCTTAGAAGCTATTATTTGTTAATATACTTTTAAAACAAGTTAAATATTAGTGCTATTCATAGTAAACCAACTCTGGATACATACACGTGCTTAAAACAGACCAATATGGTCAGACCACACACAACTACAGCACATACATAATATAAAATGCACAAAATACTGTATTCAGAAACTACTATTCAACAAAAAAAATATATTTTACCAGGTAAGGCCCAATGAGCCAGATGAAATGGCTTATCATGTGGAAATATATCACAGCCAAATATTGTAAACGCATGTTTCTAAATGTGGAGGAAAAAATCGGACTCAGTGAAAAATCCATGCGACCACGGGAAGAAGATGCAAGCTCGAGATATACAGGCATTCACGGCCGTGATCGAACCCGCACACTCCTTTATACCAGGCGAGGGAGTCAACATCTTGCAATGACGCCCCCAGAATTCACTCAGACAAAAACCGAACAGACTATACAGAGAAGCAGAATATATATAGTGCAAATCACACTGGATAAATACACAATGAAAGGCACTGATGTATGTCCTCCATCTCCCAAACCTCATTCCCTGCAAAGACATTAAACTAATGGCAATATTTATGCAGCAAGGCTAACATTAATGTTTCCTGCTGAATTCCTCCTGGGCCAATTTAGTTAATCGAGACCCCTACATGTGCCCTGTGGGTCTCTAAACTCCTATCAGTTTACAACAGCAACAACAATTGTCTCTGAGATAGGTGTGAAGAGCGTGCGTTTATCAAGGGTTAAACAAACAGCATCGAGCTCTGATTATCAAAATGAAGAAGACGAGTGAGAGCAGGTTGGAGTACTTGTGGAACATTCAACGTGGATAATGGGAAGCAACACAGTAGTGTTTGCAAAGGAAGAGCGTTTTCAGTCAGTGCACATTGTCTGCTACGA